AGTCTTAATGCTTCACCCAAATTTAGCAAGTTATAAATTAATCCCATAAAGACAAATGCAGTATGCTTTTAATTTCCAGAAAATTCTCTAACTGTGTTCCAAAATGATGCTGCAGCCTTTCACAAAACCACTAGCGTAAGGATTTTAAACATAATGAAATTGACAGGAATTGAAGAAAGCCAAGTCATGTCAATTCTAAAAAGCTAAGTTTATCCAGTTGTTCAAGATGTAATTAACCTTTCCTGCATTTTGTCTGCAGAGGTAACTTAATGTTCTTCTTTCTGAAAATACTGTTAAAAAGAAGCATTTCCTTACTAGGTCAGACATCTGAACACAAACACAATTATCAAAACATGACCTATTTCTGGAAACCAAAAAGTAGAACACATTTTAAATGAGATTACAGCATTAAACTTGGATAGAAAAAGAACAAAGTGGGAAATTGGCAAATACTGTTCCCTAGCTATACAGCATTCTGCAGTTGCAAATCATTATTAGGAAACTGTTTTCCCTCTAAACATTTCACTACATTCTGGTTGTTGCTGGGCAGGAAAACTATCACATTTTTTTTCAATATACTAATTCATTGTGAGTAATCTAATGCAAATACAACATCCCACTAGTTCTACTAAAATTAGGTTCTGTAATGACAGACCACTTCTTCAGAAGAAGAAAAGAAGAACTGAGAAGCTCTGACTTGCTACAGAATTAATGCTCACTTCTACTCATAAGGGCATCAGACATCATCACACCATATGCACCAGTCTAATCTAATCCGATCCCCAGTTTATAAAATCCACTTTCTATATTCTCTATCAACTCCTAACGCAAGGAAATATATTTCAAATTGCCCTTTCAGAAAGATAATAGATTAATCCTATAAATACATGTTGGCATAACATGTCCAAAAACAACATCTAATAAGTATACAGTGGGAATACATGAAATGGAAAAACTACTTAAATACGTGACATAAAAACAGAAGAACATTAGAAGTGCTATTTCAGTACTTCTCTAATCCTGAACAACAAATTGCCATCAGTTTGCTTGTGAAAAAATAAACTGGAAGATAGCCAAATATCACGTAACAGTTTTAAAACCTCCCAGCGATTGTTTCATTTAGTGGTTTCATGAAGAAATGGGGGGCAGGAGGAACATAAGAAAGGGAAGGAGAGAGGGAGAATGCAAGAATCTTTCACCCAATCTATGCAAAAAAAGTGTTGTTACAACATCTAGCAAAGGCTATGTTCAAATTCTTTTCCAATCTGCAGCTTATCTAACCACTATTACACCAGCCCCTAATAAGCCTTCTTGTGGGAAAGGAATTTGCAGGTAGCTTCGCAGTGTTTCTCACATCCCTGGATTAGAAATAATGAGGAAACAAGCAAGGTAGAAGCAAAAACTTGAGCAAGGTTGAGATAAAGTAAATTGGCTACATCTTTAAAGATGAGCTTTGGGCAGTGGCCAATTGCTCGCTGGCTCCAGGCGCATCTGAGGGTCTCTGACCAATTTTATGGTAGCTTCGGACACGTGGACAGCGCGTGGGGCTACAGGGAAAGTATATGTAGTAGTGAAAAAGGGCAATAAACGTCTTCTGTTCAAGAGCCATCAGGAGTCTGTGTCTTGCATCCCTTCACCTTCTTATCTAGGTATTTCAGTAAATAACATTCTGAAATATTAATTCCACTTGACCACAATTTCATGTCTCTTTCTTGAGGAAAAAAAAATCAACAGATATCAATGAATGAAAACATTCCTCAGTACTACTTCTGATTTCCTACACTTCAAGAAAATCACTGTTGTCATAAGTAACCCACTGTAAACCTCTTAGATAACACTGAAAATTTTCTCACATAAGCAGTACTTAAAATACTGTCACAGGAACCTTTAAGTTGATCAAACATTTGTCTTAAAGTCTTTTCAACTCTAAAGCAAACAAAAGCATCACCACACTGCTTATCTTTCTCAGTTATTCAGAGAAAAATGCCAAATACCAGTATTCAGGTTTTAGGAGTTTTCTCCCTCAAAAAAAAAATTAAAAAAATCCTGGTAAAAGGAAAATATTAATACCAATTATTCCTATTTAAATAGTAATAGTGGCCCAGAAAGCATTTTCAGTAACTTAAGTCCAAGAAAGGCTCAAAAAAAAAACCAAAAAAAAAAATAAAAAACATCTAAGGAATTGTCCTAAAAATCTTTAAAGTAACTTTAAAGTAACTAGATGGAACAACTTGTTGCCTCTTGCTTTGCATTCCAGTAAGAGGACAAGACCCAGCGTGAAATACAGTATCTGCTACAGGAAATTAATGATCTATTCATTTCCAGGTTTTTCAATGAGCCTTGAGGATCTACTTCAGTTCAAAGACAAGATATTAATTCAAGGACACAAATATCTCCATGAAGTACCTAATTAGAGACTTATTCTTCAGCAGTCTGTCATTTACCTGCAAAACACACTGGTTTCCATCCATTCTGCCAAACCAAGATCTGACCCAATGCTATTAAGAAAACGCATACAAACTTGCCCTCTGAGTAATGATGTATTCCTCACAGTTTTGTGCTGTTCTTTGTTGTGTTTTTCTTATTAAAAAAATGGTATTATTAAAAACTGGTACATATCAATTAAAACTAAAATCCCAAACTATGAACAGGTTTTACTACACCAGAACAAGTGCATATTAACAGAAAAAGGTCAAGGAAAACATTGGGTTGATGCTTGATGAAGATAGTCACCTAACAAGTAGGGAAGAGGAAAAGGTAGAGGCATTTAATGACTTTTTTTCCCCTCAGTATTTAGTATTAACGATTTTTGGTTGCCTGGTCCTCTGAGATGGAGGACCCATGACGGGGGTGGGGGGTTATCCAGTCTGCAGAAGAGGAGGCGAAGAGGCAATCTCTTGGCTCTCTGCAACTCCCTGAGTAGGGCAAGGGCAGAGGGAGATGCTGGCCTCTGCTCCCTGGAAATCCATGGCAGGATGTGCAGGAATGGCACAAAGCTGCACCAAAGCAGGTTCAGACTGGACAATAGACTTGCTAATGTGACACCCATCTATCAAAAGGGTCATAAGGAGGACCTGGGCAACTACAGGCCTGTCAGCCTGACCTCAGTGGCAGGAAAGCTGGTGGAGCAGGTCATCTTGAATGCAATCACACAATGTATGTGGGACCACCAGGGGATCAGGCCCAGGCAGCATGGATTCATGAAGGGCAAGCTCTGCTTGACCACCCTTCTATCCTTCTATGACCAGATGACCTGCCTGGTGGATGAGGGCAAACCTGTTACCTAGCTTACCTAGACTTCAGAAAATCCTTTGACACAGTCTCCCATAGCATTCTCCTGGAGAAGCTGGCAGCCCATGGCTTGGACGGGTACACTCTCTGCTGGGTTAAAAACTGGCTGGGCGGCTGGGCCCAGGGAGCAATGGTAAATGGAGTGAAATCCAGCTGGTGACTGGTCACCAGTGGTATTCCCCAGGGGTTGGTGCTGGGGCCCATCATCTTTACTATCTTTATTGATCATTTGGATGAAGGAATTGAGTTACTTACTCCCTCAGTAAGTTTGCAGACAAACCAAGGTGGGGGAAAGTGTCGATCTGCCGGGGGGTAGGAAGGCCCTGCAGAGGGACCTGGACACACTGCACTGACGGGCAGAGGCCAGTGGGAGGAGGTTCAGCACAGTTGAGTGCCAGGTCCTGCACTTTGGCCACAACAACACCATGTAAAGCCACAGGCCTGGGGCAGAGTGGCTGGAAAGCTGTGCAGAGAAAGATCTGGGGGTGGTGATCGATGCTCACCTGAACATGACCCCGGCAGTGTGCCCAGGTGGCCACGCAGGCCAACAGCAACCTGGCTTGTATCAACCTCCCGTACTCTGCTCTGGTGAGGCTGCACCTCGAGTACTGTGTTCATCTCTGGGTCCCTCACTACTAGAAGGACATCGAGGCCCTGGAACATGCCTAGAGAAAGGCTACGAAGCCGGTGAAGGGCCTGCAACACCAGGCCTATGAGGAGGGGCTGAGGGACCTGGGGTTGTTTAGTCTGGAGAAGAGGAGGCTCAGGGCAGACCTCATTACTCTCTACAGCTACCTGAAAGGAAGGTGTGGGGAGCTGGTGGTTGGCCTCTTCTCACAGGTAACTGTGATAGGACCAGAGGGAATGGCCTGAAGTCGTGCCAGGGGAGGTTCAGGTTAGAAACGAGGAGGCATTTCTGCTCAGAAAGAGCAGTCAGGCACTGGGACGGGTTGCCCAGGGAAGTGGTGGAGTCACCGCCCCTGGGGGTGTTCAAAGAAAGGTTGGACGTAGTGACTGGGGATATGGTTTAGTGGGTGACATTGGTGGCAGGGTTATGGTCAGACCAGATGATCTAGGACATCTTTTCCAGCCTTGATGATTCTATGACTCTATGATTAGGAAAAAATTCTGTACCATGGGGGTGGTCAAACACAGGAACTGGCTTCAAGAGATTGAGTGAAATATCTCTCAAAAAATGTAAAGCCTTATTTTACAATAAATTTATTATTCTAGTATTTTAATGTAGATTCTAACATGTTCCTTTAAGAAAATCTATATAGCTGCTTGGTGATATTAAACAAAGTTTTAGAAGACCTTAGAAGCATGTCTCCTATCTGTTGCTGATGTTTAACATGTTTCTAAAATGTATTAAAGACTGTATTAATGAAACCAAACAGAAGTATGCAATAATGAAAATCAATTCCAAAGCACTTGGGTGTCACAAAACAATACATCCTTTATAAAAACAGCAGGGCAAGTCACCTCTATTTCAGTTGAGGTTTAGCTTTTTTCTAGCATTCTAAAAAACAAACTTCAAATCATTTAGTCACATTTTAAAAGATGTAATGCACCCCATGATCTATATATCTCATCAATACAAATATTTGTGTGCATCTTATTATCTGTCAGGAACTAACCAAGCATGTTTATGTCATTCGTTTGATCCAGTTTATAGTTAAAAACCATAATTCAAGTGAGAGTTTACATACCCATTTCATTAATAGTTGCTCTTGCTTTTGAGACAAAAGAACCAACTTCACTTGAGTGCATTTTTGCTCTTTCTTTAAGGTCAGCACCTGTAAGTGACATTTCACATATATGTTAGCAAACTGTATACAGTACTGTAAATTTGTTTTCAGAAGTGAAATATAGCTGTGTGCCAGAAAAAAAAAGTCTGCTTTGAGACAAGGACAGTTCAAATTGTCCACATTCATCTTCCACAGATTTCAAGGAAAACAGAGAATCTTTATCACAAAAAAAAAAGTAATTCAAATTACCCAGCAGATTTTCATCAAGTATATTCTTCCCAGTGGCATTTCTTCTCAAATTAATGAACAATAAAATCTAGGTGGGTTAATATTTCTTCTGACACATATTTCTATTTTTTCTGCTGTGTCACAAAGTCTGATAATTATGTGGTTTTCTTTATCATGGTCTTGTTGTTATTCTTCTGCTGGTAGATCATGAAGTAACTAGGGTGCATGTTTTTACAGTAACAGACAATATTTATCTAAATAAAATCTTCAACAGTGGGCCAAGTACAATTTTTCAACTAAGTTTACTGAAACGTATTTTAGAATGCTGCATATGGCACTTTTTACGTTAAAAAAAAAAAAACTAAAAAAGTTTTAATCTATTTCTTCATAACATTATGAAGATAATTCTGTTTAAACAGCACCCTATAACTAGAGGTAATTAGAATTCACTGGTAAGAGAAATTGACATTTTTTCTCAAGAACGAGTAAGGAAAGTGAGAAACAACAACAACCAAATACAGAGTAAAATATAAAGCCCATCTTTCTTACAGAGGAAGAATAACATTAAAAAGACAAAAATTACATATACATTTTCCTAAGAAATGCAACATTCCCAGTTGAATTTAGTGTATATATTTTTCCGTTTTGTAAAAATGAATCTATTAACTTAGTTTCTTGGCATATGAAAGACTAAACAATGAAAGGAAAAAAAATAATCTGTATTTCTCTATCCTCAGAACCAAAATGCTATCCATTCAGGAAAACGCACTGGACTCTAATCCAGTTAAAACAGTAACTCTGATTTAAAACTAAGCAGTCATACGTTCCCCTTTCTGGGCTTAATTGCTGCTCAATGCAGTTCACCCTTTTCATCAAACATTTAGAGAGCAGTAGTCAAAATCAACAACTCTAGCCTACCCCCCCCCTTTTTTAAATCAAAATTGATACCTCAACCTGACTTTTTTACTAATGTGCAAATGCCATTTTACAGTAATATGTCCATTAATGAAGCTCTAAATCTCCCTTTGCAAAGCTTCTCATTTTACATTTGTTCTCCTTCTATGCATGTTAATATAAACACAATGAAGCACACATTTGCATGTTTCCCACTAAAAAACATCAAGGTTCACCTACACCTTCAGACATTTTTCCAAAAGCTTTCAAGGAACCTTCTATGATGTACCACAACTGACAACAGTGTGACAGGCCAGCCGAATAGTCTGCATGTACTTAGAAATACTGCAGCAAAATTGCTGCAACTCTGTTGCAATTGCTACCTCATTAATTCATAATTAATGCCTACAGAAATCTTGCCAGGAACCTCAAAAGCAAACAAAATTTGTATTCATAAGTCTGGACAGACTTTTAAACCATGTAAAGCCACAGAGAAATACATTTATATACAGAGTTCTGTAACTGAAAATAGCATTTACAAAATGCAATGATAATACCTGCTTTAAAAGCTATTGATAAAGCAGGTGAACAAATGAAAAAAAATATTCCTACTCTCATGTCATTTAATGTTTGGGATTAACTTCTACAACTTTGTCTAAAAGCATATAATTGCCTATATAACAATAACAATAGGCTGCATGCTCTAGTAACGAGAGAATTGTGTACCTGTATAATCTGATACAAAACTCCCATGCACTGAAATCCTGTTCACTTGGCATGCTGTAGAAAACTAAATTTGAAAAGAGAAGCAGTGGACCTAAAAATGTCTCTAGTATTACTGTTAGAAAAATCTACTGTCAAGGTAAGACTAAGGCACTTCTTAGGTTTTACGTTATTCAAACTCATAAAGAAAGTGGATTCAACCTACCATCCCTCCCACCCTAGGAAAAAAAAAAATAAAATAAAAATAAAAGAGGTCACAGATTCAGGCCTTCATTTGTAATATATACACTTATTTAAATGTACTTACAGAACTCTAAGTTTTCAACAAGAACTTTCATACAAATGCATTAAAAGTTAGGTGGTAATTTAAAATTAATTAAAAAGTGTAAGAAGAATTTCCAGCACAACAGTTGATCTCACTGCATTAACCAACTTCTGTAACCTTACATTTCCTTTTTTAAGTATTTCTCCCTCATAACTGTCAAGGAAATGGACAAAGTTCTTTTCCTAATCCTTTTCTATTTTAGCACTCCAAAGTAAAGTAACCGAAGATCTTTCTGAGAAGACTTTTAGGCAGAAACCATTTGCTTCACTCCAATAGTTCACAGGAAATGGAACTGCCACTGACCTAATACTTTTGTTCCTGTTTTAAGATTAAACTGCTGATCAAAGAATCTTTGAAGAATTCCTTGATCCACACAGCAAAGAACTATTCACATGTTTCTTCGAAAGCTATTCTCAAGTCAGAAGTAGGTAAGGTTAAGTTTCTGAAGACAGTCATGAAGAAGAGTGCAGGTTCAACCAGAGGCTTCTGCTCTCTCAGCAGCTGAAATCAAAGATCCCTCCTGTCATCCCAAGTTAAGTACTTTAAAGTATCTGCAAATATTATTTGCTAAAGTCCTGACAGCAACAAAGTAGCTAAGATTTTCAAACTAAAAAAAAAAAAAAAAAAAAAACTTAAAGAATGACTCTCTGCGCCATTCCCATGGACCACAGCTGAAATCTGCAGATATGCTGGGCAATCTGCTTCCCCACATCCACTCCCAACAGACTTCAGAAGGTTGTACTGCGGGTCTCTATGTCACACAAATGCAGGGTTTTCTAAGCCTTTCTGCCCAAAGATGCAAGAAAGGGGTATCTTAAGTTACCAGTGAGCTAAGGCAAACTAAATGTTACAGATTTGAGTGTACACTGTAATTACATCCTCATATCCATCCAGTTCATGCTAAAATGTGAATCATTGCTTAGTCCATATTGCTCTTTCTGGCATTTTGATGTTTTGTCCCACCAATTGAACTATATCCACGCAGAAATATAGCTAAAGCTAGTCAAAACTGTGGTTCCTGGGTCATGCTCACCACTTCCCTGCCCTCTGCTCCCATCCAGTGCTTCACAAGCTCCCTTTTAAGGACTATACACTTCTATTTTCAAATTACTAGGAGCTGGTAGTACCTGCCAAAAGAGAAGTATAATAGTTCTCCTAAAGCTACATTAGGATTAGAGCAAGGAAGAAGTTCTACTTGAACCAACTTAATTCATAAAAATATCACGTCCGAATTTATGGGACAAGCTGATAGGAGAGGACTTCCCTGAAGACTTCTCGTAAACAGTCCTGTTTGCAAAGTAGCAGTCCAAACAGCATTCCTTTGGAGATCTGCTAAGCAGTAAGTACATAAGCAACTGGTATACACAGATCAATCCTTAACACTACTCTGAGGAAATGCATGCTGTTTTAACTACTACCTACACTCTCCAAGGTTTTCTCAATCTGACTTAAGGGTAAAAATATTGATGCAAATAACCTTTTTTTTCTTTTTTTAATTTGGCTATTAAATGCTTGGACATTGTACACTGTCAGTCTAGAGAGTTTTTGCAACATGTGTTTTGACTTGCATTTCACAATGATACCACAGAAAATATTTATTTGAAAGCCAAGTCCAGCAAAATAGACATATTGCTGTTACTCATTAGAATTTTCCCACCTACACTTCTATATGCCAAGGATTGGCTATTTAACTTCAAAAACACACCAAAAAAAAAAAAAAAGAAAAGAAAAAAAACACACAAGTTTTACAGTGATTGCTCTGACCCTTATGCCTTTTGCCTTATTTGGATATTTTCACACACTTTCTGAACATAATTTATATACTGTTGAAAAGCTAAGTGTTGTGTTCAAAAAATCTCTTCTGGAATCTTTGCGTAAACCTCATTTTCCAAATGCCACACTTAAATGTCTAGAAATTTTATTGCACAGTACTATTCCATACTATGCTTTAACAAATACTTCCATAACATGACTCAAAAGACGTAAACTAAAACGGTCAAAACTTTTCAATGAGGGAGGAAGGAATCCCACGATATTTAGTCTTGCTCGCTCTCCATAAAGTTTCATCCAAACTCACATATTCTCTAAAACTTTTCTTTGATGTTCATTTTTTAACATGAAACTAAACAAAGATGATCATTACTTTTATGTAGCTAATAGATTAGTAAGTATGACTTGAATCCCAACATTTTATTGCAATTCATACTGGGCTTAAAAAAAAAGGCACTTTAGCACTTTATCAAACACGTTTAGTTGGAAACAGAAAATGAAGGTAGAGAGGTCAGTAACATCAGAAAAAAAAAGTACCTAATTTTTTCACATTAAAGGAAATGGAGAAACTATAATGGTTACACATAAAGTATTCAAAACCCAAGTTCAAATTTCTGATGCAAAAAACTGTTAGAAAGTACACTCTACAAATCCAGCAATTAAAATCCAGTGAGAGTTTGTACACACTTATGATCATTATGAAGAAAGAATATAGAATCATAGAATATCCTGAGTTGGAAGGGACCCTCAAGGATCATCAAGTCCAACTCTTGACACCGCACAGGTCTACCCAAAAGTTCAGACCATGTGACTAAGTGCACAGTCCAATCTCTTCTTAAATTCAGACAGGCTCGGTGCAGTGACCACTTCCCTGGGGAGCCTGTTCCAGTGTGCAACCACTCTCTCTGTGAAGAACCCCCTCCTGATGTCAAGCCTAAACTTTCCCTGCCTCAGCTTAACTCCATTCCCGCGGGTCCTGTCGCTGGTGTTAATGGAGAAAAGGTCTCCTGCCTCTCGACACCCCCTTACGAGGAAGTTGTAGACTGCGATGAGGTCTCCCCTCAGCCTCCTCTTCTCCAGGCTGAACAGGCCCAGTGCCCTCAGCCGT